GCCGGGCATCACCCGCAGGTACGGGGCGGGGGACGGGGGGCTCCTGCTCTGGGGTCCCTGTGGGACACCAGCGGTGGGTTCGGGAGGATCAGGGGCTGCTGCAGACCACCGTGTCCCCCTCCTCCTCACAGGCACACGGGCCACAGCCCCCCAGGGCCCCCCCGTCTATGTGGACCTGGCGTACCTGCCCGGCTCCTGGAGCGCCCGCACCGTGGACGAGGAGTTCTTCCGGCGCGTCCGCTCCCTCTGCTACGTGGTCAGCGGGGACGACCACCTGAAGGAGGGGGTCCTGCGGCCCCTCCTCGACGCCCTCCTCAGCGGCAAGCACCAGTGGGGCAGCGACATCCAGGTGAGCCCCCACGGGTACCTGGGGCAGGGGGGGGGATCAGCCCCTTCCTGGTGTTTGGGGGGGTGGCAAGGTGGGTTGGGATCAGCCCCTTCCAGTCCTGGGGGGTGGCAGGGTGTGGTGGGTGTCCCTGCAGGTGACCTTGGTCCCTGAAATGTTGGGATCGGCCCCTTCCCGGTGCTGGGGGGGGGAGGGTGACGAGGTGTCCCCGGTGTCTCCACAGGTGACCCTGATCCCCACCTTCGACTCGCTGGTGATGCACGAGTGGTACCAGGAGACCCACGACCGGCAGCAGGAGCTGGGCATCACGGTGCTGGGCAGCAACAGCACCGTGGCCATGCAGGATGAGACCTTCCCTGCCTGCAAGGTGGAGTTCTGAGGGGGTGGGGGGGACACAGCGTGGGCTTCACCCCCACCCTCCTCCTCCTCCTCCTCCTCTGGGAGCCCCCCCTCCCTTCCCTCCGCACTCGGGGCTGTGAAGCCACTGTGGCTCGGAGGGGAGGGAGAGGGGGCTCCCCAAGGACCTGGGGGGGCTCCCTGGGGTCCCCCAGGCCCGCAGCCCCCCCACCACACCCCCCTCACCGCGTGGTCCCCGCATGCCCACGCCAGCCACGCTCTGCACCCACCACCGGCCCGGGGAGGGGGTGAGGGACCAGCTGGGGAGGGGTCACCCTGCTCTGGGGGGAGGTTGGGGGGCAGGATGTGACCCCCCCATGCAGCAGCGGTGCTGAGCCGTTCCCCAACGGGCAGCTCTATTTAACAGGGTAAATTTTGGTGTTTTGTTGTTTTATCCCCTTCCCTGGACAAGCCACAGCCCCCCCATACCCACTGCCCTGCTCCTCGTGGGGGGGTGAGTCTCCTGGGGGGGGGGGACGACAACCTGGGGGGTCCCATCTCTGAGGGGCAGCACAGGGGGCAGGAGCCTGGGGGGCTGCTCCTGCAGCCTCGTCCCTGGCATTGTGACCCCCCAAAAGTGGTTGTTCCCTCATCTCCCCCCACCAACAACAGATGTCCCCCCCCCACCTCACGTGCAGCAGTGGGGGGGCCCATCCTCCCCCTGAGACCTGGCAACTCGCTGCACTGATGGCTCTTCCCCCCCCCGCAGCAGAAATGGTGGGGTCTGACCCTGACCCCCCCTCCCAAGATTTTGGGGGGAGCTGGGGGAAGGCCCCCCCTCCCTCACCCGCCAGTTTTCGGGTGAGGGGGTGGGAGGCAGCCCCCCCTTCCAGCCCCACCCCCCTGAGTTGCTGAAAGCTGTTAAAAACCAAACGTCACGTGCAATTTTTGAGGGGTTTTATGAGAGGAGAGCACGGGGGGAGGGGGCTGGGCTGGGAGTGGAGGGGGGGGGAAGGCAGGATGTGACCCCCCCCCCCTCTCCTTAGCCCCCCAGTCCCCACCTGGGACAAACACTAACCCCTTTTGTAGGAGGCTCCTCGATGGCTCTTTTTGTAATGACTTTTTAAGAAAAAAAAAGGAAAAAAAATAAAGCGAGACAAAAATAGCGAAAACTGAAGAAACCAAACCTTTTTTTTTTGTTTTGGGAGGGGGGGGGGAGGGAGGCAGTGGTGTTATTTATCTGTGCCCCCCCACCCTGGTGCCCGTGGGGGCATTTTACCTTTGATTGTATCGTCCTACGTGTTCGGGGAGGGGGCACTGAATGTCTCACCTTTAGTGCTTTATATATTTTTTTCTTGGCTGGAAGGTTTGGAGGTTGGGGGGTGTCGGGGTGGGGGGGCTGTGACACCCTCCCCAGCCCCTGCCCATGGACCCAGCACACTCTCCCCTGTCTTGCACGCCACGATCCCGTTTGGCAAATGTGTGGAAAATGAGCATTAAAGAGAATAATTCCCAGTTATTTTTGTCTCTTGTGTTGGAAGGGGGGTGTCCCGTGGATTTAGGGGGAGGTTAAGGCTGGGTTGGGCTCAGCCCTGGGGTGTGCAGGGGGGTACCCTGGGTTGGGAGAGGGGTTTGGGGGGATCCCGTGGGATTGGGGAGTGGCACCATGGGGGGGGGGGCTGATGGGGTGAAGGGTGGGTTGGGCTCGGTGTGGGAGGGGGGGATCTGGGCTGGGAGAGGGGTTGGGGGGTTTTGGGGGGCCCCGTGGATTTGGGGTGTTTGGGGGGGGGGGTCCCCTGGTTCTTGGGGGGGATGTGAAGGCTGGGCTGGGCTCGGCACTGGGGGTGGGGGGGGCTCTGGGGGTGCACCCCGTGATGGGAGAGGGGTTGGGGGGCTTGGGGGGGATCCAGGGATCGCCCTGGGGGGGTTGGAGAGGGGCCGGGGGGGGGTGGCTGCTCTGCGGGGCTGGTGCGGCAGAGCCGAGGCTGAGGCTGGATGCGGGGTTGCCATGACAACTGCATCCCCGTCCCCAGCCCTGCCATCCCCATCCCCGCCGCCCCCGGCCCGCCGAGGAGGGGGCTGCAGCCGCTGCGCTCGGCCCCCGCAGCGTGGGGGGGTTCGGGGGGGCGTTGGAGCCTCCTCGGTGCTGGGGGGGGTCCCACGTCCCTGTGCTGAGCCCCCACCCTGCGCGGGCAGCACGAGCCTGGCAGGACCGGGGAACAAAGCCCCCCTCGAACCCTCCACGCCCCCCTCGATCCCCCGTACCCACCCCCGACCTCCCCTTCCCACCCCCAAATTCCTCTTCCAACCCCCCCCCCCTTCCCCAAAATCTCTCCGTTCCCAGGCCCGGTGCTCCGGCAGTGGGGCCAGGGGGTGTTTCGGGGAGGGGGCTCTGCTGGGGGGGTTCACTCCCTTGGCCCCTCGTTCTGCTCCCCAAAGCCGGGGGTGTCCCCAGCGATGCCGCTGTCCCCCCAGGCCCCTCCGACCCCCCCCCTCCAGTGTTTCCCAGTGCTGTGACCGGTCCTGGTGGCTCCCGGTGCTGAGTCCAGGGTGGCCGTGGGGAGGGGGGGGTCCCAACCCCTTTCCGGCGGCACCGGGGGGGCTTCTCCAGCATCGCCACCCCGTTGGCAGCTGCCAACGCCCTGGGGGACACCGCGGGGGCACCGAGGCGACAGTGACCGCGGTGGCAGCGCCGGCAGAGGCCCGATCCTGGCTGAGCCGTGCGCGGGGTGGGGAGGGGTCCCCAACCCACCGCCCGCTCCATCCCCAACCTCCAGACCCCACCGGGCCGCCGCGGTGGCACCGGCTCGTCCTGGCAGTGCCACCTCACCGCGGGGACACCTGCCAGGTGTGGACGGGACAAAAGGGACCGTAACCGGAGCCGCCGCGTGACGTCCCCGCGGCCCCGGCTCCGGTGGCACCGCGGGCTGGTTGGGTTGATGCTGGGTTCATTCCCGACGGGAATGTGGCCCCCCCTCCCGGGTCCCCCCACCCGCCTCCGTGCCCGCAGCTGCGCCGGTGTCAGCCGGAGCCGGGGCATGAGCTCAGCGGTGAGCGCGGCACCGGGTGGCACCGGGGCGCGGGGGGGGGGGAGCCCGGCACCGCAGAGGGTGCGGCGGCAGCCGGCGAGGGTCCTCCGCGGGGGTCGTGGCGGTGCCTGTACCGCGAGCAGCACCCCGAGCGCGGGGAGAAGGGGGGGTGCCAGCGCGGGGTGTGGCAGCCCGGGGAGGGGGGTGACATCCCCCCGGACGGTGACAGCCGCGGGGACGGCTCTCCCGTTCCGGCAGCTCCGCTCCCCCCGCCCCGCATCGCTCCGCTCCCGCCCCTCCCCGGGCGCTTTTCGGGGCGGCGGCCGCTTTAAAAGATGCAAATGAGCCCCCTCCCCGCGCGCGGCGCGGCGGCGGCTCAGCCAATCAGAGGCGGCGGCCGCGGGCTGCTGTAACCGCTGCCGGGCGCGGCAGCCAATGGGGGCGCGGCGCGGCGGGAGGGGGCGTGTCCGGGGCGGCCGCGGCGCGGTCCCGGCGGCGGGGCCGGAGCGGGAGCGGGGCCGGGGCGGGGGCGGCGGCTGAGGCGGCCCCGCAGGTGAGTCCCGCGGGGAGCGACCCCCGGCCCCCGCGCCCCGCAGCGGGGTCCCGCCGTGCAGCCCCCGCCGTGCCGCTCCCGCGCGGTGCCCCCCCCGCCGCCGCCGCCGCCGCCCCCGCAGCATCATCCCCTGCTGCCCCCCTCCACCGGGCCCCCCGCGCCCCCCTCGAGCGCGGCACCCCCCGCTGCAGCGCACCCCGCCCCGCAGCCCCCGCCCCCCTTTTAATAAAGCCCGTCTCACCGCGCACCGATGCGGTGCCCCCTCCCAAAATCCCGCTCCCGGTGCTGCCCGCACCCTCCCCTGCCCCCCGAGACCCCCGCGCTGCAGGTGCAGGAGCTTCGCTTTAGCGCCTTCCCTCCTTTATTTGGGGGGGTGCGCGCCCCGAGCCCCCCGCGGTGCCTCTCGCTGCCCCGGGAGGGTTTGGGGGTGCACAGTCCCCCCCTCCGCGCCCCCCCTCCGGCGGAGGTGCGGCCCTTCCCCGAGCTGGGCCCCCCCGGACCCCCCGTGCCCCCTCGGGAGGGTCCCCGCGCCCCCCGCGCCCCGCTGAAGGTCACGGCTGCGGGTGCTCGGAGCTCGCCCGGGCGGGGGGCGCGGGGGGGTCCAGCGGGGGTTCTGCCGCAGCCCCCCCGCCCCGCACCCCCCGTCCCGCTCGGGGACTCGGTGGCCGCGGCCACCTCCCCCTCCCCCGGGGGACTTTGGCCGGCGGCGGGTTCGTGGCGTTTGCGGCCACCCCCGGGGGGGTGGGGGGTCCGCCGGGCCCTGACCCCCCCCCCCCGAACCCCCCCGCCTCTCTCCCCCCCACGCTTTGACAGGGGGGAAGTGGGGGGGGGGCCACGCTGAGCCCGCCCCGCTCGTGACACAGGTGGCTGAGTCCGTGCGGAGGGACCGACCGATCCGGGGGGCTCGGAGCGGGCTTTGGGGGGGCTGCCGCGTGCCTTGACTCCCCCTTTCCCCCCCCTCCAGACCCCCGGCGCGCCGAGGATGATCGGGGGGGCCCCGCGAGCCCCCCAAGAGCCCAGGGTGAGTGGCGGGGGGGGCCCTCCCCGTCGCACCAGCGAGGCGCGAATTTTCGGGGTTTCCTGTTTTTCTGCGGTGCATGACGGGGAGCGGGGCCGGGGGGGGCACAGCCGGGGGGGGGCTCAGCTATGGGGTCCCCCCGCTGAGTGCCGGGGGGGCTGCTCCCCTGGGTGACCCCCAGCACGCCACATTTGGGGGTCGGGGAGGGCGAGGGGGGGGTCCGGACACCTCGGTCCTTCTTTGTGGGGGGCGGGGGCTCCCCGGGCGGGGCGGGGGGTGTTTTTGGGGGCTGTTTCGGGGGGGCTGGGGGCCACGGGCACGGCCGGGTGTGGGAGCAGCCGCCGCCGCACGGAGCAGCCGCTCATTTATTATTGATCTGCGTATCTGATGTCGGGCCGAGCGCGGCCCCGAGGGCCCCCCCCGGACCCTCCACAGCCCCCCCCCGGCACCCCTGGGTGACACACACCTTGGGGAGGGGTCCGCGGTGGGGAGGGGGGGGGGCGGCAGGGGGGAGCCTGCGGTTTCCATGGCCACGAGGCTGCGTTTTCCCGGGAAAACTGATAATTAGCGGTGCGTGCAGGCGTGGTGCGGGGAGGGGGGGGGTCCGCTCGGCACCCCCAGACCCCGCCGCTGAGGTCCTGGTGTCCCCCCAGGGCGCCGGGAGCTGAGCTGTGGGGTCCCCGCGCCCCCCCCTCCAAGATGTCCTACTTCACCGAGCACTTCTGGGTAAGCCCGGACCCCCCACCCTTGGGTGCCTCCCCGCCTCGGGTGCCCCCCACCCTCTGGGCTCACTGCAGGGGGCCCCCCCACCCTGGGGAGAGGTTGGTTTTCAGGGCCTGACACCTTCGTTAACGCTGCAAATTAACTGCTGGGGGGGGCGGTGGGGGGGGTGCTTGGGGGTCTCGGTGGGGGTCTCGCGGCTGCGGTGCCATCCCTGCCCCCCCCTCCCTGGGGATCCCCGGCCCTCCCGGGTGCCCTGGGCGGGGGGAAGTCGCGTGGCCGGTGCTTCCTGGTTGGTCTCTGCCGGGCTCTGGCAGCTGCCGGCGCCTTCCTCTTCCTCCTGCCTCAGTTTCCCCCCGTGGTGCCACCTGCACCCCCAGCCCGGCTGGGACAGGGGGGGAACCACCCCCACAGGGTGGGGGGCACCCGAAATAACCCCCAGGAACGCCGGGGTTCAGCCCAGCCCTTCCTGCCTCTGCTCCCCGGGGAGCATCCAGGGAAGGGGGGGGGGCTCAGCACCCCCCTGTGCTCACCCCCCTGTGCACCCCGGGGGGGCCTTCAGGCCACCCCAAATGGGGCTTCCCGGTGGTGGCACCGTCCTGGGAGAGGGGGAATGTGGGTGGGGGTCCCACCCCGCGGGGTGCTGGGTGGGGTTTGGGAGCTGACAGAGGGGGGGGTGTCCCCTGGCAGGGCGAGAAGAACCACGGCTTCGACGTGCTCTACCACAACATGAAGCACGGGCAGATCTCCACCAAGGAACTGGCTGACTTCGTCCGGGAGAGGTACCGGGGCGGGGGGTCACCGTGGGGGTGGGCAGGGGGGGTCCCCGGGATCGCCGGCTCCACCCCCAGAGCCCCCCCCCGCCGTCCCCAGGGCCGCCATCGAGGAGAACTACGCCAAGGCCATGGTGAAGCTGTCGAAGATGGCCACCAACGGGACCCAGCTGGGGTACGAGGGGGGTCTGGAGCACCTCGGGGTGACGGGGGGGGCCCCGCTGATCCTTCCCACGTCCCCCCCCTCCCCCCCCCCCAGGACTTTCGCGCCGCTGTGGGAGGTTTTCCGCATCTCCTCGGACAAGCTGGCCCTGTGCCACCTGGAGCTGATGAAGAAGCTGCACGACCTCATCAAGGAGATCTCCCGCTACGGGGAGGAGCAAGGCCGGGTGCACAAGAAGGTACTGCTCTGTTTCCCCCCCCCTTGCCCCCCTCCCCGGTGCCCCAGAGCCCCCTGCCCACCCCGCCGTGCCCCCCCCCAGTCCAAGGAGGAGGTGTCGGGGACGCTGGAGGCCGTGCAGCTCCTGCACGGGGTGGCCCAGCTGCTGCCCAAGTCCAAGGAGAGCTACCACAGCAAGTGCCAGGAGTACGAGCGGCTGCGCAAGGAGGGCACCAGCCAGAAGGAGATCGACAAGGTGAGACACCCCCCCCCAGGTGTCCCTATCCCCCTCCCAGAGTGTCCCTGTCCCCCTCCCAGAGTGTCCCTGACCCCCTCCCTGGGGGTCCCTGTCCCCTGATGGTAGCTCCTGTCCCTGCCTTGATAGTGCCTGACCCCCCCTAAATGGTCCCTGTCTTCCTTGGGGGTGGTCCCAGTGCCCCCGCAGTGGTCCCTGTCCCCTTCCCTGTGGTTCTTGTCCCCATCCCAGTGGTCCCTGTCTCAACCCTCAGCGGTCCCTGTCCCGCCTGGGTGGTCCCTGTCCCCTTCCTGATGGTCCCTTTTCCTCCCCAGGTGGATCCTGTCCCCCCTCAGTGGTCCCTGTCCCCTCTCTGATGATCCCTGTCATTCCTGTGGATGATCCCTGTCCCCTTCCTGATGGTCCCTGTCCTCCTGGGATGGTCCCTGTCCCATCCTTGATGTTCCCAGTCCCCCTGGGATGATCCCCGTCCCTTCCCTGGTGGTCCCCTCCCTTCCCCCGTGGTCCCTGTCCCCTCTCTGATGGTCCCTGTCCCCACTGTCATCCCTGTCCCTGTCACTGGTCCCTGTCCCCTCTCTGATGATCCCTGTTACTCCCGTGGATGGTCCCTGTCCCCCTGGGATGGTCCCTGTCCCCATGGATGGTCCCTGTCCGCTCTCTGACGATCCCTGTCGTTCCCATGGATGTCCCCTGTCCCCGTGGATGTCCCCTGTCCCCGCTGTCCCCCCGGGGGTGCCGCAGGCGGAGCTCAAGTCCCGGAAGGCGGGCGAGGCTCTGCGCAGGGCGGTCGACAAGTACAACGCGGCCCGGGCCGACTTCGAGCAGAGGATGCTGGACTCGGCCATGGTGGGCACTGCTGGGCTGGGACTGCTGGGATCTGCCCGTGGTGGGCACTGCTGGGCTGGGACTGCTGGGATCTGCCCGTGGTGGGAACTGCTGGGCTGGGACTGCTGGGATCTGCCCGTGGTGGGCATTGCTGGAGGGTGGGAAGGGGTGGGATGCAGGAGCCAGGGGCCCAGGGCACTCCTCAGACTCCCGGTGAAGTGGAGGCAGGGAGCAGGATGATCCAGCCTGGCAGAGCATCCTTCTGTGGGGATGTGCCACCCTGGATGAGCCCCATTCCCTGTGGAAGTGCCACTTTGGATGATCCCAGTTTTCTGGGGGTGTTGGCCCTTGGGGTGTGCCAGCCTGGCAGAGCCCCACTCCTTGGTGATGCCAATCCCTGGGAATACCCTTCCCTTGGGATATCATCCCCTGGGGATGTGCCACCCTGTCCAAGCCCCTTTCCCTGGTGATGCCACCTTGACTGTACACCATTCCTTGGAGATATTCCCCCCTTCCTGGCCACCCTTCCCTGGGGATGCTGTCCCTTGGGAACGTGCCACCCTGGCCTTGCCAAGCCCTGGGGATGTCCCACCCTTCCCAAACCCCTTTCCCTGCCCACCTGCTGATCCCTGGGGACATCCCACCCTTCCTGACCCCCCCCTTTCCCGCTCCAGCGCTTCCAGGAGGTGGAAGAAGCCCACCTCCGCCACATGAAGGGGCTCATCGGCTCCTACTCCCACTCGGTGGAGGACACGCACGTCCAGATCGGGCAGGTGGGTCCCAGCTGGGTGAACCTCCCTCCCGTTCCCCCCTTTTCCTCTGTGTCTCATTTGTCCCTCCCCTCCCTTCTTTTTTTTCCCAGGTCCACGAGGAATTCAAGCAAAACGTGGAAAACATCGGCACCGAGATGCTGCTCCGGAGGTTTGCGGAGAGCAAGGGAACGGGGAGGGAGCGGCCAGGTGAGGAGGGGGGACCCCTGCCAGGTGAGGAGGGGGGACCCCCCCCGTGCCAGGGTGGATCCCACGATCCTGGGCTGATCCCTGATCCATGGCAGGAGCGCTGGATTTCGACGAGTACCGGCTGGCTCCAGCGCAGGAAGGCAAGTACGTCTGCATCCAACTGGGAATTCTGGGGGGTGGGGGGGCTGTTCCTCACTCTGTGTCCCCCCCCCTTTCCCAGGACCCAAGAGGAGCCGGAGTAAAGCTTTCCGGATCCCTGGGCTGAGCCGTAAGGAGAGGGAGCGTGATGCTGTGTAAGATCCTGCATCCCACATCCCAGTGTGCTCACATCCCACATCCCAGTGTGCTCACATCCCACGTCCCAGTGTCCTCGTATCACTCCATCCGAGTGTCCTCATGTGCCTACATTCCTGCATCCCTGCATTGTTGCACCCCACGTCCTGCATCCCTGAATTTCTGCGTCCTTGCATCCCTGCATCTGAAATTCCCGTATCCCTGCATGCCTGCATCCGTGCATTCCCACATCCCTGCATCTCCGTATCTCCACCCCCCCATACTGTACACCCCAGCATCCCTGCACTCCCAGATGCTGCATCCTGCATCCCTGAATTCCCACATCCCCGCATCCCACGTCCTGCATCACTTCCCCCCTTCAGCATCTAACGCTTCCCCCGTCACTCCCCAGGGAATCCCCGGATAACGACGTGGTGAGTATCCCAGTGCCAGCCCTGGGAATGCTGGTGAGTATCCCAGTGCCAGCCCTGGGAATGCTGGTGAGTATCCCAGTGCCAGCCCTGGGAATGCTGTGGGCACTCCCGTGCTGGGAGCGCTGGGAAGCCAGAGCCTGTCCGGGTGTGTCCCGCAGGGCTGCCCGGAGGTGGACGAGGACGGATTCACCGTGCGCCCCGACATCGCCCGCAGTATCCTTGGGCTGGGGCAGGGAGGGGGGGGATTTTTGGGGTGTCCAGGGGGCATTCCAAGCACCGGGAATTGCCTTGACGGGGGGGGGCTCAGCCGAGGCGGAGAATCCCGGCTGCTCCTCCAGCGACTCCGACTACGACGAGGACGAACCGCGCAAGTTTTACGTCCACATCAAACCGGTGCAGCCCCGGGAGGGACCCGGCAGCGCCGAGGCCTCCGTGGAGCAGCTCAAGGCCACCGTGGGGAACCTCATCCTTCCCCCCGGAATTGGGGTGAGCTGGGGGAGGCCGTGGGACCCCCCGGGACCGCCGGGGCCATCTGACCCCCGTCCCCTTCTCTTGCAGGGCACCGTCAGGCGACAGTCGTCACGTGAGTGTCACCGTGGGGACGTGCCAGACCCTGGGGACATCCCGGCCCTCCTGAGCCACCCCACAGCTTTGGGGTCCCCGTGGCTCCGCGTCCCCTAACGCTGCCTGTCCCTGTCCCTCTGCAGGACACGTGGCATCCCTGACCCCGGCCCCGAGTGACACGGACCCCGAGGGGACGCTGGCGGCGGGTGAGGCTGGGCTGGGGGGTCCTGGGGGTGTGGGGGAGTCCCAGGGATATTTGGGGGTCTTGGGGGGGGTGCAGTGGCTCTGCAGTGTCCCCTCTCCCCACAGGTGACAGCACAGGGAGGGGTCTCCCCGCAGCACAGGTGAACAGGTACGTGGGGTCAGGGAGACATTGGGGTGCCATGGGGTGGTCCCCCCATCCTTGGGGGGGTCCCGGGTGGGCACTGAGCCACCCCCTCTGTCCTTGGCACAGCGGCCCTGGGAAGATGCCCCCGGACTCGGTGCCCCCCGCCGCTCTCTTCGGGCCCCCCCTGGAGTCGGCGTTCGAAGCCGAGGATTTCCCGGGTGAGGATTTGGGGGGTGGGATGGGGGATATCTGGCGTGTGTCGTCCCCCCCCCCCAGTGCTCTGACCGGGGCTCTCCCGCAGCCCCCCGTGCCTACGTCCTCACCTCCTCCTCCTCACCCTTCTCCTCCTCCTCCCCGGAGAACGTGGAGGACTCCGGCCTGGACTCACCCTCCCACCCCGCGCCCGGACCCTCCCCGGACTCCAGACCCTGGACCCCCCAGCCGGGGACGCCGCAGAGCCCCCTCCCCAAGCAGGGCGGCCTCCCGGACCCCCCCCCGCCCCCCAGCCCCCGGGACCCCGGTGCCTGGGCCCCCCGGCCCCACAGCCCCTCCGGCCGCCTCCCCGAGCCCCCCAACTTTGCCGTGTTCGGCGGCCCCGGGGCCGAGGGGCTCTGGGGAGACGGGGGGGCTGCTCCCCGGGGCCGCAGCCGCTGCCTCAGCGGCCCAGCCCCCCGGGAAGCCCCCTCGCCCGACCCTTTTGGGGAGCCCCCGCCGTGGGTCAGACCCCGCAGCCCCGGGGGGGACCAGCCCCCGCTGACGTGTCCTTCCTCCAACTCGGCCTCCTCCTCCTCCTCCTCGCCGGCCCCCCTGAGTGGGGGGGAGTCCTCCAGCCCCTCTCCGTGGACCTGCCAAGGGTCGGGGACGAGGCTGAGTGAGGGGGGCACGTCGGGGGCCCCCACGTCGCAGTCGGAGCCGGGTGAGTGGAGGGGGGAGCTGCCCCCCAGTACCCTTAATCCTGCCCCCTGTTACCCTTACCTGTGCCCCCCATTACCCCAAACTCTGCTCCCCAGTACCCTTAACCCTGCCCCATTACCCTTACCTGTGCCCCCCATTACCCCAAACTCTGCCCCCCAGTACCCTTAACCCTGCCCCATTACCCTTACCTGTGCCCCCCATTACCCTTACCTGTACCCCCCATTACCCCAAACTCTACCCCCCAATACCCTTAACCCTGCCCCCTGTTCCCCTTACCTGTACCCCCCCATTACCCCTATTTTAACCCCCCCATTACCCTTAACGTTTCCCCTTCCCAACCCAGCTGAGAACAGGGCTGAGACCTGCCCAACTCACGGCACTGATGAGCCCCTGCAGGAACCCCCCCGGGTGTCCTGCCACGGCAGGGCTCTCTCCTCCCCCCCCTACTCGTGCCCCCCCCCAGATTCTCTCCCCGCCTGGCCCAGCGCAGCCCCCCGGGACGTCCCTCTCGTGGCCCCCCCTCGCCGCTCCCGCGCCAAGCGGCCGCCGGCCGGCCCTGCCGTGGGCAGCAACAGCGACCTGGTGCGTGCCCGGGGCTGGGGGGGGCTCAGGGCCTGGCTTTGGGACCCCCCCAAAGGGGGGTTCTGAACCCAGCCTCCCCTCCCTGCCCCTGTCTGCCCTGGCAGTCCCGCTCGCTGAGCCCCTCGCCCTCCTGGAGCTGCGGCCCCTCGCACTCGGCGCCCGCCAGCCTGAGCGAGCGCGGCTTCTTCGCCGTGTCCCAGCCGGCCCTCGGTGGGTGCTGGGGGGGCTCGTGGGGCGTGGGGTGAGGGTCCCACCCGTGCCCTGACCCCCCCGTGTGCCCCCCTGGCCCCCCCCAGGGCTGTCTCGGGGTCCCAGCCCCGTGGTGCTGGGCTCGCAGGACGCGCTGCCCGTGGCCACCGCCTTCACCGAGTACGTGCACGCCTACTTCAAGGGCCGCGACGCCGACAGGTACGGGGGGGTCTTTGGGGGTCCCCCAGCCACTGCGTCCTGCCTGGGGCACCCGCTGACCCCCCGGCCTGTCCCCAGCAGCTGCCTGGTGAAGGTGACGGGGGAGCTCACCATGTCCTTCCCCGCCGGCATCGTCCGCGTGTTCAGCGGCACCGCGGCCCCCCCCGTGCTCAGCTTCCGACTGCTCAACACGGGGGCCATCGAGCACTTCCTGCCCAACACCGACCTGCTCTACAGGTGGGGGGCCACGGGGACACCCTGCTCGGCGGGGGGGGGCAGCGGGGCAGGGGGCACGGGCACCCTGGGAGAGGGTGGGCACAGCCACGGGGGGCTGGCGGTGGGGTACGTGTGGTCCCCGGAGGTCCGGGTGTCCTGGGGAGCCGGTGGGCGCAGCTGGGTGTGGGGGTGCCGGGTTCTGGGGGTGCCCCTCTCACCCCGTGCCCCCAGCGACCCCTCCCAGAGCGACCCCAGCACCAGGGACTTCTGGCTGAACATGGCAGCGCTGACGGGGCAGCTGCAGCGGCAGGCGGAGCAGAGCCCGGCCGCCTCCTACTACAACGTGGCTCTGCTCAAGTACCAGGTGAGCCCCGGGGGGGTGTTGGGTGTGAGGAGAGCCGGGACCCTCCCCAGCAGCCCCCCCTGGAGGGCGGGAGGGTCTGGGTGCCCCCCTGAGCCCCCCGTGTGCCGCAGTTCTCGCGGCTGGGCCCCGGCTCGGCGCCGCTGCGGCTCTGCGTGCGCTGGGACTGCGCGCCCGGGGCCACGCGGGTCAGCGTCGACTACGGCTACAACGCCGGCGCCCTGGCACTGCCCGTGCCCCTCGCCAACGTCCACGTCCTGCTGCCCGTCGAGGAGCCCCTCACCAACCTCCGCCTGCAGCCCGCGGCCAGCTGGTACCGGGGCAGGGGGTGGGACCAGCACTGGGGGGGGGACACAGCACTGGGGGTCACAGTCCCACAGCACTGGGGTCACAGTCCCACTGGGCTGGGAGGGACAGGACTGGAGATCTTGAACCTCCCTGGGGTGGGAAGCACAGGAGTGGGGGTCCCAACCCACCCCCAGAGTGGGAAGTGGGTCCCAAACCTGCCCAGAGTGGGAAACGTAGGAGTGGGGGTCCCAATCCCTCCCCAGGGTGGGAAGTGCAGGGTCTGGGATCCTGAACCACTCCAGGATGGATAACACGGGACTGGGGGTCTGAAATACCCACCAGGGTGGGAGACACAGGCTATGGGGTTCCAAACCCCTCCAGGATGGGAGAGGGGAGCCCCAGACTGGGAAATGGCGATGCTGAACTGGGAATTTGAGACCCTGAGCTGGGAAATGGGGGTGCTTCCAGGGTGAGGAGGGCAGGGAGGCGGGTTCAGGATGAAGTGGAGGGGGGCTTTGGGGGTCTGAGGGCACTCCCGTGTCCCGGCAGGAACCTGGAGGAGAAGAGGCTGCTCTGGAAGCTGCTGGACGTCCCCAGTGCCCCGGGGCAGGGAGGTGAGTCTGTGCCCACCCTGAGGGCACGGGGCAGGGGGGCGCAGGGGCCAGACCCCCCCAACCCCTCCTCTGTCCCCCCAGGCTGTGGCCGGCTCTCGGCCAGCTGGGAGCCCCTGGGGGGGCCCAGTAAGCCCAGTCCCGTGGCCGCCCAGTTCAGCAGCGAGGGCAGCACCTTGTCGGGGGTGGAGGTGGAGCTGGCGAGCGCCGGGTACCGGATGTCGCTGGTCAAGAAGAGGTTTGCTACAGGTACAGCTGGGGAGGGGGCACACCCCGGGGGCGTGGGGTCCTTTCCCCACAGCCTTGGTGGGTAGGGGGTCCTCTCCCCATCCCCTGTGTCCTGAGGTGCACAGGGTCCCTTCCCTGTCCTTCCCCAAGGTCCACAGCGGTCCCTTCCTGCTCCCCACGGCCCTGGGGTGCATGAGATCCTTTTTCCAGGGTGCCCGGAGTCCCTTCCTGCAGCCCACGGGGTCCCTTCCCTGCTCCCTGTGACCCTGGGGTGGATGGGGTCCCCTCCCCTGTCCCCAAACTCCAGTTCTCCCTCCCTGGGCTATGCCCAGCCCGGGAGGGTGCAGGTTGCCCCGCTTGGTGCTGGCATTGAGCCCTGGCCGCTTGGCAATGCCCATCCTCGTGCCGGGGGTGTTCCCCCCACCCCTCCTCACCACCTTTCCTCCGCAGGGATCTACCTGGCGGGGTCCTGAGCCACCTCCCGCCGGACCCTCCGAGCCCCCCGGGCTTCCCCCTTGGTTGTGTGAACTTGAAACACTGGCTGGAGGCCGGCTGGGGAGGGGGGGGTGCTGCGGGGTGGGAGCCCCCCTTTTCCTCCTCCTCCTCCTCCTCCTCCTCCTCCTCCTCCTCCTCTCCTTGTTCCCCCTCCCCGTGGCTGTCACCGCGTCAGACCCCCCTTCCGCCCTCCCCCGTGCTGTGAAGGGAGCAGGAGCTGCTCTTTTATTAAACACTTTATTTTCTAATAACCTTTATTTTCTAATAACCTCCTTTTGTGCCCGTGGGTGGGTGGGTGGCAGCGGGCAGGGGGAGGATTCCCACAGGATACTGGTGCCACTGGGATCACTGCTCCGGGAGAGGCTCAGTGGGAGGGTGGCACTGAGCTGGCTCTGGGGGAGCTCTGGTGGTCCAGGGGGTCTCTCTGGGGGGGTCTGGGGCTGTGCCCACCCCCTTGGTGCATGACATTCCCAGTTCCTCCGAGCTGCCCGTCCTTCCCGGTGCTGCTCCGGGCCCTGGCAAGTGCCGGGGGGGCCCCAGTGATCCCCTGACTTTTCCTCCTCTAAATCACCCCTGGTGAACCCTGAGAGGCAGGAGTTGGTCCCCAGGACCTGGGGCAGGAATTCTGAGGGAGCCTCGTGGGGGTGTTCCCAAGCCCCTGGAATGCTGGGAAGCTCAGCCAGCGGCGGGAGCACAGGGATGTGCTGCGGTGGGATCTCAGGGACACCTCCTGCAACCTGGGGCTGGGGCAGGTGCTGTTCCACCCCTGGCTGGGGGAGCATCTTCTAGGGGGTCTGAGCATCTTTTAGGGCCACTGAGGAGGATCCAGAGCTGGCAGGAACCACCCCAGGAGCCCCTGGGCTGTGGTTCCCTCCCAACCCCTGTAGCTGCCGCTCCGTACTGGGGAGGGGGACCCCAGGGGTGGTCCTTCCAGGAGGGCAGTGGTGTCTGGAATGCTGAATCCCAGCTCTCGGGCTCAGTTCCGCGCTGCTCCGGGCCTGTTCCTGTCTGGTTTCACCCCAAATCTGCCCTCCCGTGGCCAAAGGCGGCAGAGGGAGAAGAAACGAGTGCGTGTTGCTAATGAGGATTTGGGGTCTGGAGCCTTTCCGAGGGGGTGCAGGGACGAGGGGGCTGGTTTTGGGGGGGATCATGGGCTCAGGGTGGGAGCAAAGGAATCCCCCGAGCCCACTGGGGTGGGCATTGACCCCACAGTGCCAAGCTGGGGCCCCCTCACCGGGATGTGCCACGGGCACCCGCTCTCTCCCAGCAGCTCCACAGCAACCAGACGCCCACACCCCCCTTCCCCACGTGTCCCCCCTCCCCAGGCCCGCCCTCACCTCACCCCAGATGGAAAATTTACCAAACTTTAATAAAATAAGGCTGAATTTGCCATGGTGGAGGCAGGAACAGGGAGAAGGGGAGGGGGGAAGCCAAGGGGCAGTTCGAGGGGGGGTCTGTGTGCCATGGGAGAGGGGCATGGGGGTCTCGTCCCCCCCACGCTGTGCCCCTCAGAGCTCCCTGAAGCGTCGTTGTGGCCACACGGTGCCGAGGAGGGAGGTGGGTGTCCGGGGGTCCCAGCCGGGGGAGAGTTTTGGGGGAGGGGGTTCTACCCACGGGCTTTGCTCCGACCATCCCGCAGCGCCTCGATCCTGGGGGACAGCTCCCCAAAAGCGGGCCTGGCACCGGGGGTGAAGGCCCAGCAGCTCATCATCAGCGAGTAGACCTGGGGACAAGGGACAGGGAGGCCCTCAGGGGAGCGGGGGGACCCCCAGGACCCCCCTCGGGACCCCCAACAGCCCGGGCAGGGCTCGCACCTCCGCGGGGCAGCCGGACGGCACCGGGAGGCGCCGGTTGTCCTTGAGGAGCTCCAGCAAGTGGCAGATGATCTGCGCCGGCTTCCCGGTGCCCATCATCCGGAGGAACTCCTGCGGGGGCGGCCGTCGGCACCGGGGTCAGCCGGGGGGGCTCCTACCACAGGTAACGGACCCCCGCCCCGGGGAGGGGGGCGCAGCGGGACCCCAGCCCGGGGGGGTCTCACCTCCGAGGGGCTCCTGCTCTTGTTGCCGTAGGTGAAGAGCTCGTAGAGCAGGACCCCGAAGCTCCAGGCGTCGGACGCGCAGGAGAAGACGTTTTCTGCCAGGGATTCGGGAGCGTACCTGCCGCAGGGGAGACGCTGAGCACCGGACCCAGCTGGGATTGCAGCCCCCCGTGGCCTCCCCCGTGCTCCCCCTCTCACCAGAAGACGGGGCTCTGGCCGGGCTCCCGCACCACGTAATAGTCCTTGTCCTGCGGGAGCAGCTTGGCCAGCCCGAAATCCCCGATCTTGACGTGGCTCTCGCTCTCCACCAGGATGTTCCTGCTGGCCAGGTCCCGGTGCACGCAGCGCTGCGCCCCCAGGTATTCCATGCCCTGCCGGGATGGAATGTTCACGGGAACCGGGACCCCGGAGCATCCCGGGGGGCTGAACCACATCCCAGCCGGACCACGGTCCCTTGAGTGAGCATCCCTGGGGGCTCGTCCCGGCTGGACCACGACCCCCCGGGCGATCCCCGGCACTGATCCACCCCCTCCACCCTGGGAGAGCAGGACCCCCGCTGCCGCCACCCCCGCCGCGACCCCACCTTGCAGATCTGCCAGGCGTAGAGGAGCAGCGCCCTGTGGTCCAGGCGGGGCTGGTTCTTCTGCAGGTAATCCCGCAGGCAGCCGTTGGGCAGGAATTCCATCACCAGCCGCAGCCCCCGCCATCCTGGAGCCACATCCGTCACCCTCCGGCCGGGGTTTGGGCAGAACCGGGATGCGGGATCCCTGCCCGCCCCCTGCCCGCCCCCTGCCCGCCCCGCGCTCACCCCGGCTGTAGCAGACGCCGCGGTAGCGGACGATGAAGTCGTGCTGCAGCGAGTGCAGGATCTGGATCTCCCGCTCGAAATCCCGCAGCTCCTTGGCCGAGTCCTGCTGCAGCTTCTTCACCGCCACCAGCTCGCCCGTGCTGTCCCCCAGGGGGTCGTAGCGGCACAGCTCCACGCTCCCAAAATTACCCTGCGGGGGGAGGGCCGGGCTGGGACGAGGGATGTGCCCCAGAGCCCCACCCCATATTCCCAGTGCCTGTTATCCCTGCCAAGATCCCGCTCTCAGGGCACAATCCAAGCGTTTCTCAGCAAAGCAAGGATGTTCCACGCCCCGAATCAGGTGAGGGAGGAGGGGGTGCACTGAAGTTTGGGGGTCAGGGCCCAGACCTTTCCCAGCAGTGAGATGTACTTGAGGTGCCGCTCCTGGAAGTGCTCGGGGTCCCGGCTCACGGCCAGGGGCTCGTGTCCCCACAGGCTGTCCCGGAGCGCCACGTCCGCGGGGGACAGGTCCGACAGCAGCTCGTAGTCTGGGGGAGGTGAGTGGTGAGGGCGCTGTGGGGGTGCCCCGTGCCCCCCTCCCCAGCCCCGGGGCCCACCGGAGGTGATGAGGCTGTTGAGGTCGCGGATGAGGGCGCGGAAGCAGGGCCGGCGCTGGGGCTCGTATTCCATGCACTGGGCCATGAGCGTGGCCAGCTCCGGCCACTTGGGAGCCGGGAGCTGCAGCCGGCTCTGGTAGAAATCCAGCTTCTGCAGGGGTGGGAAGGGGGGGCCCGGGGTGGCTGGGGGGTGTCTGGGGCCGCCCCGAACAGCCCCTGAACAGCCCCAAAGCTGGGGGAGTGAGTGGGGCCCGGGTGCAGCAGGACGGGGCAGGAGGATTGGGATGCAATGGAAGGGGAGAGGAGGTTTGGGATGCGAAGGGGACGGGACAGGAGGGATGGGGCAGGAGGGTCTGGATGCAGTGGAGTGGGGCAGGAGGATCAGGATGGGGCAGGAGGGGTGGGAGAGGAGGATTGGGATGCAGTGGGACAGGGCAGGAGGGTCAGCATACAGCAGGAGGGGGCAGGAGGGATGGGATGCAGCGGGATGGGGCAGGAGGGGTGGGATGCAGCGGGATGGGGCAGGAGGGATGGGATGCAGTGGGATGGGGCAGGAGGGATGGGATGCACCAGGATGGGGCAGGAGGGATGGGATGCAGTGGGATGGGGCAGGAGGGGTGGGATGCAGCGGGATGGGGCAGGAGGGGTGGGATGCAGCGGGATGGGACAGGAGGGATGGGATGCAGCAGGATGGGGCAGGACAGATGGGATGCACCAGGATGGGGCAGGAGGGATGGAGAAGAAGGGCCGAGTTGCAGTGGGACGGGGCAGGAGGGTTGGGATGCACTGGGAAGGATCAGGAGGGTCAGGATGCAGGGGGCTGGGGCAGCCTCACCTTCTGGGGCTCCAGCAGGCTCAGGGGCATGTTCCCACCACTGAAGATCTCCCAGAGGGTCGCCCCGAAGCTCCACTTGTCAGCGGGCAGTGCCAGGCTCTTGGGATCCCGGACACACTCGGGGGCCACCCAGGGGATCCTCTGCACCAGCACTGGGGGGGATGGCCCTGCTCAGCACCTGGGGGGGGGCAGCAATCCCAGACCCCCCAGGACCCCCAGCACTCACTGTCTGGGGCCAGGACGGTGACGCTGACCCCGGGGTCGTTGAGCTTGATGAACGGGGGGGTCCCTGTGGCCGCGTCCCCCTCCCGTGCCAGCAGCACCTTCTTGGCAGAGACGTTCCCGTGGGTGATCTTCTTGTCCTCCTGGAGGGGGGGAAGAGGGACCAGGACCCTCAGTGTGGCCCCACCCATGGGGGGGAACCAACGGGGATGTGTGGGAGCCACAGGATGTGGATGCATGGGAGCATGGGATAGATGGGATCCATGGGACAGGGATGTGTGGGAGCTGTGGGGTATGGATACATGGGAACTGTGGGATTATGGATACATGGGAGCTGTGGGCCATGGACTTGTGGGGGCCATGGGACACGGATGCCTGGGAGCTGTGGATGTGTGTGGGATGTGCCAGGGATGCACGGCTGCTGCAGGAGGCGGGTGAGCCGGACCCAGAGGACGTGGATGCCTGGAAACCGTGGGATGAGGACGGAGGAGAACGGCAGGACACACGGACCGTGGGACACGGGCACTCGGAGCCGCTCACCAGGTAGTTGAGGGCATAGGCCAACTGCTTGGCCACCATCAGCTTCCAGCTGGTGGTCACCGAGCCCTCGCCCTGCTTCTTGCGCAGGTAGAGGTCCAGGGGGCCGTGCCGGACGAGCTCCTGCACCATCACACCTGGGGGGGTGCAGGGGGGTCACCCGGGGCACAGCAGGGCTGGGTACTCCCTGTGCTCCCCCCTGGGCACTCCCTGTGCTCCCCCCCTGGGCACTCCCTGTGCTCCCCCCCGGGCACTCCCTGTGCTCCCCCTGGGCACTCCTTATGCTCCTCCCGGGCACTCCCTGTGCTCCCCCCTGGGCACTCCCTGTGCTCCCCTCGAGCACTCCCTGTGCTCCCCCAGGCACTCCCTGGGCTCCCCCCCCAGGCACTCCCTGTGCTCCCCCCTGGGCACTCCCTGTGCTCCCCCGGCACTCACTGTCCTTCCCGAGGCTGACGCCGTGCAGCAGGACCAGGTGCTTGTGGGAGAGCTGGCTCATGGTGCTGGCTGCCTCCAGGAAGGACTGGGAGCGGGACAGGCGGCTCAGGGGGGGCTCCTGGGGACACCCCCCATCCCCCGGTGCCGCCTCGGGGGGGCTGTGCCCCCCCCCCACCTCGGAGCAGTTGCGGTGGCTGCTGTCCATGACCTTGAGCACCACGGTGGTCTGGCGGGGCCCGTCCCCCTCCTCCTGCTCCTCCTGGTCCCGCTTGACGCCCTTGTAGATCTGGGTGAAGGAGCCCTGGCCGAGGCTCTCGCCCTGCCGGGACAGGGGGATGGTCCTGGGGGGTCCCTGTCCCTGTGCCCCCCCCGACCCACCGCCCCGGGCCCCCCCGTACCCGTGTCAGGCTCTGGGGGTCGATCTTGTGGAACATCATCTGGTGGAGGCTGCGGCGCCGGGGGGCCGGGGGGGAGCCGGGGGGCGGGGGGGCCCCGCTCCGAACGATCAGCAGGTTGGACTTCTCTGGGGGGGGGACAGGCCGTGAGGGGGGGCAGGGCAGGGGGCACCCACCTGGTGACCTCACACAGCTGCTCTGTGACGTCACACGGCTGCTCTGTGATGTCACACAGCAGCTGTGAGGTCACACAGGCCCCACTGTGATGTCATGGTCCGTCCTGTGACCTCACAGCCTGCTCTGTGACGTCACACAGCCTGCTCTGTGACGTCACACAGCCTGCTCTGTGATGTCACACAGCAGCTCTGTGGCACAGCCTACCCTGTGATGTCCCACAGCCCTCCTCTATGATGTCACAGCCCGCTCTGTGACCTCACACAACTCACTTCCCCGTGTCCCACAGCAGCTGTGTGCTGTCACACCATCCCCTCTATGATGTCATAGGTCACCCCGTGACCTCCCAGCCTGCTCTGTGATGTCACAGCCCAATCTGTGACCTCGCAGCACCCTCTCTGTGACGTCCCCCGTGTCACCTTTGGGGCGGGGTGGGCAGCAGGCCCCCAGGTGCATGCGGGCCCCCTCTGCCTGCAGCCCCCGGTGCCCGTAGGTGTCCAGCAGCTCCCGCAGGCTGCAGAACCTCCGCGACACCCCCGACAGCCAGAAGTGTCCCTCCTCGTCCCTGCGGATCTGGCACCGCCTGTAGTCCTGCCCGGAGCGGGTCTGGGGGGGGATCAGTCGGGATCAGCAGAGTGGGGACCCCCCAGAGCCCCCCAAACCCCTCCTGCCCTGCTGGTGCCTGCGGCAGCCCCGGGGCTGTGCCCGTCCCACCGCGGGTGGCACCGTCCCAGCAGGCACCAGGTGGGTGTTTCCCTCTCTCCCAGTGACGGGACCCCCACGGTCCCGGACCCCCAGAGCCCCCGGTGCAGGGGGGGGGTCTCACCTGGACGCAGACGGTCAGCAGGTAACTGTCGAAGTCCTGGGGGCTGCGGCGCAGCAGGTACAGCCCGGGGGGGCTCCCGGCCGCCTTCAGCTTGGTCACGGCGAACTCGGCGCTGTGAAAGGCAGGGCTGGGGGTGGACCCTGCTCGGGGACCCCCCCCGGGGACCCCCACTGCCCACCCCTCCCCGCCGTGTCCCCCCCTCCTCAGTGAGGGGGGTGGGACCGGTCCCCCCCGCCCCCGTGGCTCCCCCCGGGTGACCCCTTCCCCTGTCACCTGCGGGTTGGGGTTGGCGAGGGGGGGTCCCGGCACCCACCTGATGGGCCCGTGGCACTGGTTCTCCACGTCCTCCAGGAGCCGGGGGGGGGCCACCTCCTTGCAGAAGTAGTGCTGGGCGTCCGCCGTCAGCCGGTAGTAGCCGTCGATGAGAGCCACGAAGGAACGAGCCTCCCGCAGCGTGGGGAACTCCACCTCCTGGGGCAGGGTGGGGAGGAGGGGGTCAGCTCCCCAGCCCCCCGGCCCCCCGGGGGGCTCCCCAGCCCACCCCCGCGGCTCACCAGCACGCGGTTGTCCGCCTTGGTGAGGGTGACGAGCCGGGTCTCCGCGGGGCCGCCCTCCCCGCCCGCCTGCTTGATGCTGATGTCGGCGATGTCGGGGAAGTCGCAGAAGTGCTGGCGGTTCTGCGGGGTGACAAACGGCGTGACAGCCGCGTCCCCCCACCCCATCCCACCGCGGGACCCCCGCCGCAGCCCCCCCGCTCCGCCCCGGCACCTCGGAGCCGCCGCAGCTCCAGGACACGCCGCTCTCCCCGGCCACGTGGATGGTGATGCCCGCGGGGGACCCGGGGGAGCGGACACGGAAACTCTCCTCGGCCCGGCGGCGCTGCAGCCGCTCCAGGTCCAGCAGGTACTTGAGCTTCAGGTGGGGCCCGTCGGTCTGGCAGCCCCCGAGCTTCCGCAGGGATTTGCTGAAGCGGCGCCGGATGCGCTTGCGGGTGAGGAAGTTGTGCTGCTGGATCTGGCTCCGGAGCGGCTCCGGGATGCAGGACTTGTAGCTGCCGGGGACGGGAGGCACAGGCGGGTGACGGGGTGTTCCCCAGGGATGCCAGGTGTTCCCCAGGGATGCTAGGTGTTCCCCACGGGTGTTGGGCTGTCCCCATGGATGCCAGGCTGTCCCAGTGGTTGCCAGGCTGTCCCGTGAGTGCCCCACTGTGCCCCCAGCTCACCTGACGTGGCTGCAGACCTGGTCGGGGCTCTGCCTCTCCTCCTTGGCGATGCGCAGCATGTCCAGCAGGGCCAGCCCCAGGCACTCCTCCTGCGTGGGCAGGCTCAGCCCCACGGCCACGCGGCCCTCGACGAAGTCACTGCGGGACTGGGGGGAACACGAGGGTTTGGGGGGGTTCTCCCACCTCCTGTCTTGCCAGGACACCTGAGGCACCACAGGACCCCCAGTCTGTGGCACCACACACTGTCCCCCTGTCCCAGTGCCCGCGTGAGTCACATCCCACCCTGGGCTCTGGTTTCCTGCTGCTTCCCCGGCTCTGTCCCCGGGGCAGGGACCACCCAGGGGACACAGTGACCCCCATGTCAGCAACCTGGGGTGCCCCACGAGCAGCTCCAGGTGAGCCAGGTAAGAGGATCCACATCCTGCAGGGACCTGTGGGTGCTGGAGGAGGAGGAGGGTGGCACAGCCCAGCGTGATGAAGGCATCACTGCACTGAGGTCAACACGTACCACACACCCGAGAAGCCACACGGGACCCCACCTGCAGTGCCAGGAGTCGGGGACAGAGGTGCCACCTGGCAGGGCTCACCTGGGCGAACAGGTAATCGATGACAGGGTAGTCCAGGACGGGGCTGGCCCGCTCATTCAGCAGCTGGAAGCGGTGGGACTGTCCCAGTCCACACCAGTTGGGGAAGAAGAACCTGATGGGGCCGGCGGGGGGGTCTCAGTGCTGCATCCCCCGGAGCACAGAACCCACCAGAGGGTCCCGGGGGCCGTGCTGGGGCTGTACCTGATCCTGTACACCACGACCTGGCTGCTGGACTCGTCCACGGTGAAGAGGTGGTTGGGGGGGAACCAGCAGCTCAGATCCTCCGTGGCCAGGGCGAAGAGCGGGTGGCACACGGGCAGCACGCCTGGGGGTGGAGGGTGGGGCTGGGACCCCCAGCCAGGACGGGCACGGGGCCACCATCCCAGGGCTGGGACCGCCATCCCACGGCCAGTACCCTGAGCCCACAGCCCCGAACCAGAGCCCATGGCCAGTAACCTGAGCCCACAGCCAGGATCCTGTGCCCATGGCCAGCTGCCCAGCCCCACAGTTGGCACCCCGAGCTGCTGCCCAGCCCTATAGTTGGCACCCCGAGCTGCTGCCCAGCCCCACAGTCGGCACCCCGAGCTGCTGCCCAGCCCCATAGTTGGCACCCCGAGCTGCTGCCCAGCCCCAGGGTTGGCACCCCGAGCTGCTGCCCAGCCCCAGGGTCGGCACCCCGAGCTGCTGCCCAGCCCCACAGTCGGCACCCCGATCTGCTGCCCAGCCCCAGGTTGGCACCCCGGGCTCACCGCAGGCCTTGGCCGCGCGCACACAGAGCTCCTCGGCCGTGAACTCGCCGCAGCTGAAGGTGAGGGCGCCGGGGGGGCTGCGTGGGGCGGGTGCCCGGGGGTACAGCAGCACCCGCAGGGTGCCGGTCTTGCCGGGCTCGGCCGAGGAGAGGCTGCAGGAGCGGCCCCCGATCAGCGGCGTGTCCTCGCCCAGCGGGGCCATGGCAGGCGCTGCGGGGGAAAAGGGGGGCTCAGAGTGACCCCCCGGCTCCCCTTCCCTGCCCTTCCCTCCTCATCCTCCCCGGGGTTAAACCCCGCGATCGAACCCGCGGCAGCCCCGGGGCTGGGATCGGCCCCTCCTGGGAGGGGTGAAGGGGAAACTGAGTCCCGAGGTGGGATAACCCCCCTCCCACCCTGTCCCACGGCCGCTCCTGCTCTGCCCCATCGCTCAGGGAGGGCTCGGCTCCATCCCCCGGAGCCCCCCGTGCTCGTGTGGTACCTCTGCCGTGCCGGGGAGGGGTCCCGGGCAGGGTGTGCCGCCAGACCGGGGCTCTGGAGGTGCGTAGGTGGCTGCGAGTGAAGGAGAGAGACAAAAAGTCCCCCGGGTGACTTCCTTCCTGCCCGAGGCCTCCCTGGCGCGTGGCTTCCTGGCAGGGGAGGGGGGACCAGGGGAGACACCCCAGGGTGCAGGGACGGGGTGGAGTGAGGGGCAGGGAGCCTGGGCACGCCCCGGGCACCCCAATAGACCCCTGTCCTGGTGCCGTGGGTACCACAGGGGTAGGTGATGCTCTGCCAGGACATCCCTTCCCAGGACATCCCTTCCCAGGGTGAGGGCCTGGGTGCTGCCTGCCCCCGTCCTGCACCCCCTTGCTGGGACCCTCAGTGGCAGCTCTATCCCCTCTCCCCTGTCGTGCCCCGGGTGCCATCGCAGTGCTGGGCGTGTGCCGGGCCCGGTGCCGTGCGTGTCACACGTACCTGCTGCAGGATGTGGCCAAATCTTGGCGTTTTTCCCCTGGAGCTGCTCCAACCAGCTCGGGGAGGTGTGGAAGGGATCCTGCCCCGCCCTGGCCCCCGGGGACAGGTGATGGGGACAACAGTGTCACCAGGGCTGGAGGCAGGGCCCAGGGACCCTCCTCTGCCCCATGGAGGGGATGGCCCCCGTCTGGTGACACCTTGGAAGTGACAGTGACCCTGTGGTGACACGTCAGAGGGGACAATACCCCCACGATGATGCTTTGGAGGGGACAGTGAGCTCCTGGTGGTGCCTCAGAGGTGACAGTGCCCTTGTGGTGATGCTTTGGAGGGGATGGTGGCCTTTCAGTGATGCCTCAGAGGGGACGGTGCCCCAGTGGTGACACCTTGGAGGGGACCGTGCCTCGATGGTGACCCACCAGAGGAGTCTGTGCCCCTGCATCAGCTCCGTCCCCACATCAGGGCTCTGATGTGCCAAATCAGTCCCAAATCTGATCTCGATGCCGGGGCTTAGGGCAGAGAGGTGGAAATCCCCAAACCTGTCCGAGGGCCAGGAACGACAAAGCGGCGTTTGTGCCAGGGAATGAGGAAGCCGGGCCAGCCCCAGGCCTGGTGCCACGTCAAATCCCAGAGTCAGAGCTGTGCCCGCGCTCCCGGGGGTCAGCGCCCGGCTCCCTCCGGGGTCTGGATGTGGTGGCACCGCCGGGGCCGTGAGCGGAGCCGGGGGCACGGCAGGGAAGGGGTTATGGCCACGGCCCCCGACGGCTCCGTCCTCCCCACTGAGGGTCCCTCCCCGACGGCCTGAACCTGCCTCCCGCCGTCCCCCTGCCCCAGGGCTGGAGCAGCTCGAGGCACAGCCTTCCCTCCGCGCCCTCCGAGGACGTCGCAGCAGCCTCTGGGACCCACCAAGCCCCCCCGGGACCCCCGGGCAGCCCCTGCTCTGCTCCTCAGCCCCGGCAGCCGGTCCGTCCCGCTCCGCAGGCAGCTGCCTGCAAACAACCTGCTTTTCTCTGGGTGAAGGTTTCCTTCGGGTTTGTTTTTCCCCCTCCCTCGGCTGGAGATAAATTCGGCTCTGCCGGAGGCTCTGCCCCTCCTTGTTTGGGCTGGTTGGGGAGGGGTCGCTCCCTCCCCTCCTTCCCTCCCTCCCGGACGTGTCCTTTGGGTGCCGACGCTTCCCCGGAGCAGCTGGACCAGGCGCTGCCTCTCTTGGCTGCAGACAGGAGGTATCGAGGTAATTCCCACGCCAAATTCGGGTTGTCCCTCGTGCAGCTCTGCCCTTCGCAGCCCTTGGCACAGACCTGGCCCGGGACGGGTGTGAAGGGAACAGGGCGGGGCAGGGCCCTGCTCCCCAATCCGCGCTCCCTCCTTCCCGCACGAGGGGTTGGGCAATAATTCCAAGGAATTTTCTCACCCTCCAGCGGTGTCTCCGTGTCCCGGCCTAGCCGCGGGTGCCGTGTCCCCGTGTCCCCGTCCTCCCGCGGTTACCCGGTTTGGGGCTCCCCCCTTGCCACAGCCATGCCGGCCCCGACGGGGAGCCCGGAGATCCGGGCTCCGGAGCGTCTCACCTTCAGCCTCTGGGACTACGGAGTCTTCGGGCTGATGCTGCTCGTCTCCACGGGCATCGGGCTCTTCCACGGCCTCGCCAGGGGCGGCCAGAAAACCTCGGAGGACTTTTTCACGGGGGGCCGGCGCATGTCGGCGCTGCCCGTGGGGCTCTCGCTCTCCGCCAGCTTCATGTCGGCCATCCAGGTGCTGGGAGTGCCGGCGGAGGCGTTCCGGTACGGCGCCAAATTCCTCTGGATGTGCATGGCACAGCTCATCAACACCCTGCTCACCGCCCAGCTCTTCCTGCCCGTCTTCTACCGCCTGGGGCTCACCAGCACCTACGAGGTGGGCAGGGGGCTGGGGGGGCACACGGGGATCCCGCCCTGGGAAGGTTCCCGCTGCCGGGACGGCCCCGACGTGCTCCGTGTCCTTGTCCTTGCGGCAGTACCTGGAGCGGCGGTTCAGCAGGAGCGTCCGGCTGTGCGGGACCCTGCAGTACGTGGTGGCCACGGTGCGTGCCGGCGGCGCGGGGCTGGGCTGGGGGCGGTGGGGATGCGGGGAGGGGCTCGGACCCGGCCGTGCCGGCGCTGCCCTGAGCCCCTGGGGAGCGTCCTTGGGTCCCGTGCTCGTGTTTTCCCTGGCTCCGAGCGCGCGGCTCCCGGCGGGAGCCCTGTTTTGAGTGAAAACCGCAGTGTTTTCCCAGCGCCGTCACGTTCCGTCCCCGTCCCCGCGGGGCCGGTGGGACCGGTGCTGACCCCCCCCTCTTCCCGCAGATGCTCTACACGGGGATCGTCATCTACGCCCCCGCCCTGATCCTCAACCAAGGTGTGTGTGTGTGGGGCTGCTCCCCGGCGTGTCCCTGTCCCTGTCCCTGTCCCTGCGCTGGGGACACCCCGGCCCTGTCCCACCACAGGTGACATTTAACCCGGGGCTCTGCTCAGCACCGTCCCTTCCCCTCCAGTGACCGGGCTGGACATCTGGGCCTCCCTGCTCTCCACCGGGGTCATCTGCACCTTCTACACCACCATCGTGAGTGGGGGAGCCCCCGGGGGGTCCCGGTGGCCCTGGGGGTCCCTGGTGGTCACCATCAGCTCCGTCTGGCGCAGGGTGGGATGAAGGCTGTCATCTGGACCGACGTCTTCCAGGTCTTTGTCATGCTCTCGGGCTTCATCGCCGTCATCGTCCGGGGGTCTCTGCTGGTGGGGGGTCCCGCCAAGGTGCTGGGCATCGCTGCCAACAGCTCCAGGATAAACTTTGGAGAGTGAGTCCCCCCACCCTGTGGTGTGCAGACCCCTCCTCAGGGGTCAGTGAGTCCCCCCACTCTGTGGTGTGCAGACCCCGCTCCCCCCGCCCTGAGGTGCTTAGGGGTCGATCCCAGCCCCACTCACCCCTCGCCCCAGGGCGTCGGGGGGGTGTTGGTGCCAGCCCAGCCCACCCCTCACCCTGGCACTGTGCCACCGTGCCCAGCTTCAACCCGGACCCGCGGAGCCGGTACACGGTGTGGACCTTCCTGCTGGGCGGGACCCTGGTCTGGCTCTCCATGTACGGCGTCAACCAGGCCCAAGTGCAGCGCTACGTGGCCTGCAGGACCGAGAGGGAGGCCAAGATGTGAGTCCAGGGGGGCTGGGATCGTCTGGATCCCGCTCTGTGAGTTTGTCCCCTAAGGCAGACCGGTGCCTGTACCCCTGCATGGACCCTGTGCCCCTGCACAGACCCTACACGGGCCCTATATGAACCCCTATACACCCCTGAACGGACCCTGTATGAACCTGGCACCCCTGCACAGCCCCTGCAGCCCTGCCCGGCCCCCACACCCAGCCGGGCCCCCTCCTCACCCCCCTCCCCGTGCTCACAGGGCGCTGCTGGTGAATCAAGTGGGGCTGTTCTGCATCGTCTCCAGCGCGGTCGCCTGTGGCCTCGTCATGTTTGCCCTCTACAAGGACTGTGACCCCCTCCTGGCCGGCGCCATCGCCGCCCCCGACCAGGTACCGGCCCCTCCAGGACCCCCAGGGGCAGTGGGGTGGGAGGTCGAGGGTGTTGAAGGGGACATTGGGGTCCCCCTCACGCCAGCCCCTCGAGGACCCCCCAAGGCAGGAGGGTGGGAGGGTGAGGGGGTCAGAGGGGGTCTTGGGATCCCCTGGGATCC